ACCCCTCACCAGGAACCCTAAAGCGCTCACTCCCAGATCCCAAAGCCCCGAACCCAAACACTGACATCTCCAAAACACAAAAACCTTAAATCCTAACCTTACCCTAAACCCTAAACCCTAAACGCTAAACCCTAAACCCTGTAAAGCAGAAAAAGCTGATGTGCTGAAGTTGATAACCCAAATGCCCTAAAGGCCCCCCCCTAAAGCACCGCCGCTGTCAAAGAGAACAGCTCCTATCCGCCTGACTGTACTTGAAACTCAGCCAATCGATCCCAAACTCCGAGACCCTAAGCTTCAAGTACTTCTACCCTCACCCTAAACCGCCCTAAACTAAGCCCAGAAGCCCTAAACCCTAAACCCTCACCCTGAGACCGTAAACAATAAACCCTTCAGCCCTAAATCCTGAGATAAGTGCCTTGTCATCCGCAAAGGCATTCCCTCTACCCTCAACATCTAAAACACATATGGAGGGGAGGGGGGTGCATCGACAATCGTTTAGTTGAGGGATACAGTATTCCTTACTCTGGGTCCGCATAAGCCCAAGGCTTCTGCCCTGAGAACTTCATCATCCTCGCCCAATTAGATCATAAATCCGGTAACCCCAAACCCGAACCAACCCTAAACCCTAAACCCTAACCCCACATCTTAGAACCCGGAAGCTAACCGTATTTATAAACTCTAACACACCTAAGCTCCCAAACTCAACACCTAAATCCAAGGTTTCTCACACCATTTAGACTCTAAACTCCTCTGTGGATTCAGTCGTGAGTTCCTCATTCACACCCTTTCGAACCCTGATCCAGGGGCGTTCATAATTAGAATAGGGTTTCGGGGCCCACTATACTGTATCTACATCAAGGAACCACCCAAAAACAGAATTGGTAATTATTTGGGCCCCCCCCTAAACCCTAAACCCAACACCCTATAAACCCTACTAAACCCTAAACCCTACTATACCCTAAACCCGAACCCGCTTCTGGGGACCAAACGGCTTCCCGGACTTTTGCATCTTCGTGCGACAGGAACTGAGTGATCTCGGCCGGCGGAGAAGAAACTTTAGGGACGTTCAGGGTGAGTTTGGGTGTAGCGTTTCAGGGTTTAGGGGATTAGGGTTTAGGGCTTAGGGTTTAGGAATTTAGGGTTTAGAGTCTAATTAGGGCTTAGGGGGTTTAGGGTGAGTTGAGGTTTGATGAGGGGTTCTATGGAAAATTCTTGCGACAGTTTTTGGCATCTGGTTAGGGTACGCTTGCAGCTCCAGGGGTCAAGATCCGACCCTAAACCCTAAACCGTGAGCATGGTTTAGGGTCTAGGGTTTAGGGTTTTAGGGTTTACCTGGACCCCAAAGAACCTACCTTTTTAGGGTTCCTTATTATGACTTCCTTACATAAGTCCTAAAAAAGGTAGGTTCTTTGGGGTTAGGGTAGGGTTTAGGGTTTAGGGTCTCAGGGGTTGAGAGTGATCGGCTTCGGCTATGTATGGTGTAGGGGCCTTATAAGGTATATCTGGGACCCCCCCCCCCCCGTTTCCATTTCATGTGGGTAGTTCCCGTTGTAGGAGCCTTTTAGAAGGTCTATATACCTTATAGAAGCCTTAAAGAAGCCCTATATACCCCAATTAAACTCCCCACCTGTAGTTTCCTTTAACCGTTGTTCTTTGTTTAGGCCCCTGTCATATAGTTCCGGGCTTCGGTTCAGGGTTTAGCTGATGGTTCAAGGTCGCTCCCTCTACGTCGTCTATGTCAGTTCCCAAACCAAAAGCCTTAAGCCCTACCTAGACCCCAAAGAACCTAACTTTTTAAGGACCTATATAAGGAAATCATGATAAGGAGCCTCAAAAGGTATGTTCTTTGGGGTTATGGTACTGTTGAAGAAGATGGCTGCATTGCTTCTGGTTTAGGGATTGTGGTAAGAAAGAGGGGTGGCACGTTGGAGTGCAATGAGGTAGCCTGAACAATGAACAATCTAGAAATGGTCTTCCTTTGAGATCCCTAAACCCTAAATCCTGAACACCCCAAACTCCAGTCAACGTGCTTCTGTTCTTTATATTGGAGATTGAGGTGAGTCCATCATTTAAGCAAACATTGCACCCGCACTCCCCCCCCTCCCAGAAAATGCCCTAAGGGGAACGATGTTGATCTGCTTGCCCCCGCCCCAACCCGAAACTGTTCATTCTTGTACTGTATGTAACACAGGGCCCGAATGCAAATGCTGCTACGAAAAGCCATGGTTCAAAGAAGATCAAAAAACGTTGAGCACGACATTCGACATTCGTCAACCCCAATACTGCAACCGAAAAACGTCAACTCATAAAGCTACAACCTCAATGTGAACCAAAACCCTCCCTCCCCCTAAAAATTCGCACTCCAACACCTCTCCTAGCCCCTTCCAACTTCCCCAAAGTGGCCCTAAACCTCACCCCGCCCCCTCAAATCAAAAGAAAGAGTCTGAAATACGGTGATCCGCTCTAGCTGCTCTCGGAAACCTATGAAGACCTCTAAATGCCTCTAAACCTACCTGCGGCCCAAAAAAAGCCTACCTTTTTTTTTAAGGAGGTATGTATAGAAACATAATAATAAGGAGCCCTAGACAGGTATAGGCTCTTTCGGCTGCAGCTCTCCCCAAACCCTAAACCCCAAACCCCAAACCCTAAATCCCTAAATCCCTTAACCCTAAATCCCCAAACCCTAAATCCCTAAATCCCTTAATCCCTTAACCCCCAAAATATCAGCCCTTTGAGCCCTTGGCCACTTTCGCACCATCGGCCTCTTCGAAGCATGGTGCCCAGCTTGGTGCGTTTAGGGTTTAGGGTTTAGGGCCCCCCAGGAACCCTACCACAAGGGTGCCTACGGAATAGGGCTTAGGGTTGCGCCCATGCAGGGCGTAGGTTAACTCCTAAAGTAACAAAATCAAGAGGGTTCCGTTTAATTTCCGAAGCATATATGTACTACATAAGCGCGGCAAAAGGACCCCTAGCGCTAAGGATCTGAAGTTCCTACGTGGGAAGAACACACACACACACACACGCACACACCCACCCACACACACAGAGACACACACAGACA